GCTTGGCCCTTGTGATATTCTTAGCATTCATATACTTTTGTGCTTTTGCCAGCATCTCTAGCCTTCTTTTCGGTGGGCACTTCATTACAGAAAAGAGGAAGCTTGATGACCGGAGGCCTCCTAGGAAGGCGGTCATAGTCACCTTATCATCGAGCTCCTTAACTTGGAGGACCTCCTCATTAAAATGAGTGAGGTAGCTCCTTAAGCCCTCATCTTGGTCCTACTTTATGCTAAGCAAGTGGGTGATAGGCTTCTGGTGGCGGCGCCCTCCAATGAAGTGAAACACGAATGACCTACTCAGCTCAATAAAGGAGCCAATGGAAGCTGGGGAGAGCTTAGAAAACAATTATCAAACTGAACTCTTCAAAGTAGTTGGGAATGCCCTACACATGATTTCGTCGGGGACGTTGTGCAGCTGCATTAAGGTCTTGTAAGTTTTCAGGTGGTCCAGTGGATCCTTCATTCTGTCAAAGGTCTCGACGGATGACATTTTGAATTTCTAAGGAAGGAGGTAGTTCACCACGTCTAGAATGAAAGGCATGTTAGTTTGCCTAACTGGATAGTCCACAGTCTCAGGTCTTTACACCTTCATAGCGTTGAAGACGTCACCTAATTGACTTTGTACCTCCTTTATTTTTTTCATTCCAGCAATTGGGAGCTCCTTTGGAGTTCTCATGGAAATGGCTCCATGCTTTAGTTTTCACCCTTATCTTCTTGGAAGAGAGGGTATCCCCCATGAGAAACGAGAGCTGGAGGAGGAGGTGGAGGTCCCTCATAGGGAGCTCCCCCATGTGGGGCTCCCAAGGGTGGGCGCCCAAGGGTGGGGCATCTAAAGGGGCTCCAAAGGGGGTGCCCGGAGCTACTTGACGCCCAAGGCATGAAGCTCCTCTGGCTTGGTGTCCAGTAGGTTGTGCGCCTCCTTATCCGATGAGCATGAGTTACAGAATCTACTAGTTTTGGGTCACAAGCTGCTACATGGTCTCTAGCATCTACTGCGCATTTGGGACATGATTGGTTGGTGGAGGAGCAACCTCCTCCTCTCGTGGTGGATTATCCTCAGGTTGATTCATTGATCTGGTGGTGATCGTCATAGATTTAACAAAGAGAGTGTTTAGAAGTGAGAATTTAGGCGCCAAACTGATGATGGACAAATTAGATTTGTACACCACCTGTTAGATGAGCAGTAATTAATAAGTGAGAGATGAAGAAGACAAGGTTTATAGTGATTCGATTAACATGACCTACATCCACTTTGAATGGCTAAGGTCACTGGGTATTTTATTACTTCAAGTGTGTAGGGAGAGCAGAGAGTTGCAAGCTTTGAAAGGGAGAAAAGAGTTATGCTTGACTGAGTGTGATGTCCCCCAAGTGTTGATGGGGCTTACAATTTATAGTCGCCTCATAGTAGGTTAGGGCGACTTAATAGTAACTAAATAGCTAATCTAGTGAAGCTGACGACCTTTTCTCAATAGGCGAGGCGGTTACGGTGTTCTCCATGAGATTCAGTCAAAGGATGAGGTGAGGGTTAATTATTTCTAAGGCGGCGAGGATCAAGCTCTTGGATGACTCTATATGCTCCCCTGTTGATTTAGCTCCTCGAATGCGATGAACTTAACCGGGTGTGGACCACTCTGGATTTGACTTGCTGGATCTCTTAGAATTGGACTATTTATTCAAACTGGGCTCATAACATGAGTTGAGCCCTTGGGCTTGGCCCATCATTTTCTATTGTAAGTTGTTGTTTTCTAAATGATTCTACTCTGTTATGAATTTTTTATGCACGTTTAGAAAATTGAGATCGTTATTAATACCACATGTTTTACTTCTAAAGTTATATATGCTTATTTTAAAAAATTGAGACTTGTTTTACTTATATTTCTAATCCTTGTTTAGGTTTGGAAACTGCTGAGCTACTTGTGTTCACACTTATAATTAACATTTTTTCAATTTTTGATGTTGAGATTGATACCATCATATGGGGCTGATAATTGAGCCGAGCTATTCGGGCTCGACTCAGATAAAAATTGACTCAAACTTGACTCGTATTTTAAACGAGCCAAGCTTGAACAATTTTTAAAAGACTCAGCTTGAGGTCTCAAAGTTCAGCTCATTTATATGTAAAATAGTCGAACTAATCAGGTTCGGCTCGGGCTCAGCTCATTTTCTAAATGAGCCAAGCTTGAACAATTTTATAGGCTTGTTTAGAAAAACATGCTTAACAGGCTTAGCTCGAACTCGCAAAATTTGACTCTATTATCAGCCCTACCAACATGGGTGAGCATGTGGGATAATGCTTATGAATTTTAATGATTTAGCTTGAGAGAAAATATTTATTTGTGTTTGAGGTGTATGATGTAAACTTGGGCTATTTATATAATCAAGTAGCTAGATTCCTTTGTCTTTAGTTTTTTGCTACTCAGATCGCTTGACGATTGTTGATCCAACGGTCCTCATGTCAAATTTTTCTAAAACTTCTATCTCTCATCTAACTGTCTCTCCTTATCTCGTACTAACTAATATAAAGACTCTTATATCTCTATCCCATACTATATCTCTCTCTCCCTATCTCAGACTAACTCTCTCCTTGCTACTTCACCTGATGCACTCGCCAAGCCTCTCTCTCATTTTAAAAGCAACTCATCTCTAACTCTCTCCCCTATCTCATACTAATTGTTACCTCACCCGGCACATCTCTCTCATCTAACTCTCTCTCCTTACCTCACCTAGCAACTCTAACTAATCGGTTGCTTTCATCGTCAAATTGGGGAGCGAACCATTGCCACCAACCACTATAAGCCACCACCCCCACACTCCTTAACAGTGGAACATTGCCGAAGTAATTGGTTGATTTTGTTGTCGAATTGGTGAGCCATGAGCAACAACTGTGCTTTGTTTCAATCATCGCAATTATTCGCACATCCAGTAAGTGGACTTCAATATTTTAGGTTTGGTTTATATTACATCTAATTGCTTTTATTAGATCCCGTTTTCTTATTTTACATATGACGTTTATGGGATAGGTCAATCTTGAAAAAAGTAAAGAGGGAAGAGACATTAGTGCTTGCGAAGTTACAAGAGATATTGGAGGATCTTAAAATTGGTAGGATACTATAGAGTTTTAAACTGAAGTAATGGGGGTAGCCTGAATCATGAAAGTATCCTACCATAAAAGTATCTTTCATTTCATTTTTGGACGTCCTTTATTTTCGGTTTCGTGGAATGCAACTAGAGTGTCTCAAGGGAGCTATGAGTAGAGATTTCTTTTGAATTCTCTCTCCCCATAAAGTTTTGATAGAGAAAATTTCAAGAAAGCTATGCATGATTTTCGTCATTTTGGTGCAACTGTTTTGGACTTGCTACTCTGGGTGGGGATCTTGGTGGATGAGTTTAAAATTCAAAAGGGTTTGGAAACCAATGTGTGGTTGTGTAAGTCATACAATAAGGTAGAGTGCAGATTTGAATCTTTAGCATAACAAATCCCTTAAATCTTGCAAATCATGCAAAAGTTTTTTGGGAATGGAATAACTATCTTGAAATTTAAAAAATATCGGCTTACATGGCAATAAACATTTTTGCCCTTAATGTTTCGTTCTTTAATTTCTTTTTTGCCTTACCATTAGGTAATACTACAAGTTCCCCAGTTCACATTTTTAAATTTTAATAAATAAAATTGGTCCTTGCACAATTGAGGTTAATTTTTTTTTTAAAAAAATTACCAGGATCTATTTATACTTAATTGTGACAATTGAACAAGTGTTCAATTATTGACTACTCTTCTAGGCATGCCAACATTACTATACCACCTAAGTGAGGACTATGACAAACAAAAAAAAAAAGGGCAGATTTCTCAATAATTATAAAAAAAAACATTAGAAACATTCAAAGAGAACCTCCTCTTAAATGTGGTAGCACATTGGTAGTTTTGGTCCTATGTTTAGTTGTTCATTTGGTTCGATTTGATCTTATGATAGTGCGCTCATGTATGTTTGGGTTTTGTATTTTGGTCAAAATTTTAATATAAAAGGATTTTTGTTTTTAATGCATTTTTGTGTTGTTTAGGGTTTTTGATTTTTCGAATTATGCTATTGGTTGGTCTTTTATAATTTGTTAGCAGTGTTTTGTTCTTGGGTCTTTATAGTTAGAAAAATTAATGAATTAATTGATATTCAAATATTTAATCACCTTCATCAAGATTCTAACTGGCCATCACCATCGTCTCTTTTTCAACTTTCTCACTTTACTCTTCCATCAACCATAGCATATCAAGCCACAACCACGACTATGAAATTCACCAAGCCTCGCACTACCCAACCCACCCCCTTCGCCATCAACCCCATTGCCACCACAGACTCACATAACCCATTTCCGCAACCACCACTACAACTCACCTAATAATATATTTTAAATCGATTTTGTTAGTTGTTTTATTGTCATTGTACTAAATTTCTTGTTTGATTTATATATTGTATCAAGTGTAGTTTTTTTCAATAATACCCTCGAGCATGAGTAATTACTTATATTATTTTAAAGTACCAATGTATCTTTAAAACTTTATTTTCCTGCTGTTAGTAAAAACAAATATGCCATCCATCCGTATATCCTACAAATTTAATGCCTTCTAGAAGCCAATTCATCACAGGTGCTACTCCTCCCAATTTTTCAGCAAAATAAATGGTCCAATAAACCTAATTCATCACCGCCCTCCCAAGTTTCCAGCCGTTAACAACCTCTCTCCTTCTCCGTCGACCCTCCAACTCACTTCACCATGCCCCAACCCAACCACTCTGATCAACTCAGCCACTGGCCGCTGCTTCTCTTACTCCGAATTCACCAATCAAACCAAAATCCTGGCCGCATCTCTGCAAAACCTAACGGGTCTCTCCAAAGGCGACACTGCATTCATTCTCTCTCCCAATTCAACCGAGATTTCCCGCCAAATCAAGCTCTCAAAAGCAGTGATCGTCTTTGTCGTGTCATCAACGTGTCACAAGCTTCCAACCATGCGATACCGGACAATACTTATTGACTCGCCTGAGTTTGAGTCGGTGTTATCGAGTTCAAGTCGTGAACTCTGCCCCGCGTCGAAGTGAGTCAGTCTGATATCGCAGCGATTATGTACTCGTCGGGGACTACCAGCCAAATCAAAGGTGTGATGCTTACTCATCGGAACTTGATTGCGATTGTAGGGATATTTTTAGCTCGGCGACCGGAGAGGGAGTCACCGACGTTGTTGCTGTATACGGTGCCTTATTTTCATGTATTTGGGTTTTTGACAGTGTGAAGTCTGTGGCTCTAAGTGAGACTGTGGTGTTGATGGAGAGGTTTGACTTGAGGAAAATGTGGAGAGCTGTGGGGGAGTTCAGGGTGACGGATGTGGCAGTGGCAGTGGCACTACCGGTGTTGGTGACTATGGCGAAGGGAGATGTGACGGATGGCTATGATTTGAGGTAGTTGGATAGGGTTGATTGTGGTGGTGCGCCACTTGGCAAGGACGTGATCAGAGCATTTTCAACAAAATTTTGCGGGTGTTCTCTTACATAAGGTTACTAGTGTTCACCACTGAAGGCTCGTCACCATTATTTGTTTACTCGGCCGCGTTCTGGAATCTGGAGGTTCAAGCTTTGCTGATTATCTATTGAGGAAACTATGCATATGACCCTCAAAATATGATTTTTTTTTTTTATTTTTTTTTTCTAAAGTTTGTGCAGTTGGTTGATCAATACCTTCATAAACTATCTATTTGTTGCAGATAATGCCGTTATGAAAAGTTTTGTGCCAGTCATTCTTTCTATTGCAAGAATTCGTCAATAACCTAATTGTTCTTACCACTCATACTCATAGGTAAGCTCTCTATCTCTATGTATCTAGATCTTCATATAACTTATGGATCCGGGGTTCTTTTTGAAAGGGATAAATACAATTCTGTACTTGCAAATGAAAGCTAATTTTTGCTTGAATTTGCTGTAGTTAATTAGATTTGTTTTCCAAGTTGGTGACAAAACCAGGGAGGATGTCGACTACTCTGAGGAAGAGATTGATAGGGGATTTCAAGAGTTTGCAGTAGGATCCTCGTATGTGCAAGACACAAGAGAGGTATTATGCTTTGGAACGTTTAGGACTCAATTGGATCCTCTTGGTGTTTTTGTTTTCCTAGATGTTGACAGGACTAAACTGTTGCTAAGATAGTTGACATTCAACCATGATATGTTGGTAATTAGCACTTGGAAATGTTTAGCATGTCGAGGAAAGTGGCACATTGCCCAAGATGATTGCATTGCATTTGATACCAGTGGAAAAGCTTATAGAATTAGGATAGGGACGTGGATTGTTTTTTGCCAATCTTTGCTTAGCCCACAATCATGTTTCCCCTTTCAAGTTTGGGCCGTGAGATTTTTACATTTTATACGCTTCCTGTTATTTTTAAAATTTTACATTTATTTGTCAATGTGTTTTAACAGCTCAAGAATCAAATGAAAGAGTTAGCCACACTTTCCTTGAAACCAATTGTGTAGCAAGGAATTGACGAAAGCTTGGCTCATAGTAAACTTGTGTAATATATGATTTCATCATGGAATAGATAAGGATATAAACTTGAAAACAACCTTTGAGAATATAGTGGCTGATTTAGGACCAAAAGTACTCTTTTTCTAGGAATGAAATTTAGTTTGGGTAGACCTACAAGTTGAAACATAACTCCATGTATTGTGTGTTATCGTTCAATATAAATCAAATATGGAGACATATGCTCAAATCTTTGAATTCTCAACCAATAAACTTAGAAATCAGTAATATAAAATAATAATCAGAATGATAATTCACCATATTTCACGCGCACGCACGTGTAAATCAACTTAGGTAAAAAAATTGCAGATATACGATGACATAGTGAGTTGCTTCAAGCAATGATAAATTGAGCATGAGTTACGAACAACTTTTATTGTGAGAGTGCAATTGACAATTTAGTTGAAATATCATAACAATGTAAGTGCACGGAGCTCACGCTTCAAATACAAACCCACTATAAAAACGTTAGTTGTTGGTAATACTATACATACACCACCCAGTCATCTAGGTACCATTGTATTCCTAAATTGCAATGTAATTGGGTATGCATAAGCTAGACTACATAGTTGGAGTTTGCGATATTTTGGGATTTTTGCTTATATGTTGCTTCCAAGCAATATGAGTACATTCCTGTCTAACATCCTACATTATTGATTTTTCTTATTTACTCATTCTTTTGCTTAGATACTAATACATTCAACTTTTAACAAGGTAAATTAATTATTCGCCTCATAAATTTGCAGCTGTTTTTCTCATCAAACTATTAGGAAGGCCACACACAGATTCAACATGGTGAATATATTCCTCATTCTCCACTTTCATAGCGTGACGTCAATTGACACACTTCTCTTTCTCCCCCTCTCTGTCAGATGCCCTCAGCTTTTGTGCGTTGGCACTGCACAACCATCGGTGTATTGCTTGAAGGTAATGAATTTTTAGTTGCAAGTAATATATCTTTGTAGTTTTGGGTATGATTTGTGGTTCTTGTATGTGATGGTTGTTGTTGGATTTACTATATTTTTNTCTCTGTCAGATGCCCTCAGCTTTTGTGCGTTGGCACTGCACAACCATCGGTGTATTGCTTGAAGGTAATGAATTTTTAGTTGCAAGTAATATATCTCTGTAGTTTTGGGTATGATTTGTGGTTCTTGTATGTGATGGTTGTTGTTGGATTTACTATATTTTTATTCAGGTTTTTCATAATATTTAATCCTTAGCGAGTTAGCCAGTCAATTAGGATAGCCCTCATCTACTTATTGATGTCGAACTGTTCTATATATTCTGGTGAAAAACAAGTAGAACTTTNTTCTTGTATGTGATGGTTGTTGTTGGATTTACTATATTTGTATTCAGGTTTTTCATAATATTTAATCCTTAGCGAGTTGCCAGTCAATTAGGATAGCCCTCATCTACTTATTGATGTCGAACTGTTGTTCTATATATTCTGGTGAAAAACAAGTAGAACTTTGCATACAGTGATTATTGTTTAGTCAACAAAACTTCAATACCATGTAATCACAATTCTGTAAGGTACAACAGTTTTAATTTGAGCATCCAATTGCTTTTTTATTTTGAACGTAAATCTAGATATTAATTTTATAGTTACAGGATATGTAAAAAGTGGGTGGGGGCTNGCATACAGTGATTATTGTTTAGTCAACAAAACTTCAATACCATGTAATCACAATTCTATAAGGTACAACAGTTTTAATTTGAGCATCCAATTGCTTTTTTATTTTGAACGTAAATCTAGATATTAATTTTATAGTTATAGGATATGTAAAAAGTGGGTGGGGGCTGAATGTTTCCTATCAACTTGTAAAATAAGAGTAGATTTCAGTGAGAACTGATCTTAAACCTTGTATTACCACAACATTGATTTACGTTTAAACCATTGTTCATATCAAATTCACCCAAGAGAAATAGTAAATTCAAAATCTTTGAAAGTAAAGCTAATTAGTTTAATAGTTTTTAAGCCAAATTCTTGAGGAATTTTTATACAAAGTGAACTAATTTTTACATGCTTATGCTTCATTATATCTTCCATAATAGGCTCTTCAAATATATCCTCCATTTTGATGTCTTACGGATTTTTTGTGTCTAATCATTAGATTTGCAGATCTAAGAATACATACTGAGCGACAAATATCATTTTGTCTTTTTCATTCAACATTGCTTCTGTTTGTTCCAAGGACATTGGTATAGGTTTGTCTCTATCTGTTTGATATTCATCCTCATTTGTTTGTGTAACATCCTCCCATACAGTAAAATTATCAACTGATGGTCTTGATTTCTTAGTTTCTTGTGTAGATTTCACGCCAAGATCAGTACATCACAATTTGAACAAGTAAATAGAAAGGGAGCATCCACATAATTGAGCAAGAATACGCTTGTATCATTGCCTCACTGTTGATCAATCTATTCTTGAGTTTGAGTTTTTTGTTATATTATAGCAAATTGATGTTGATACATGGAGTAGAATTTATTAATATATTAGGCCAGAGAACCTTAAAATATTAGCAATTCAAAACTTTCACACAATGATAGGAACGCAATTGGTCATTCTAACAAACACAAAAA